CGAACCCAGGTGCTGAATTCAGCCTCCTGTAGTCACCAGCAGATTTTAAGATTTTTTTATATCCAAGGAGGCCAGTTTATTCCTTCTGCTCTGCATATTTACAAAGCCAAAACTTTGGCTCAAACTCTTTATGGAATTCCTATGTGGATATGGGGCTTCAAGGATTGTATTGAAAGAACCCAGGCTGTCTTTTTTTAGAAAACTTCTAGGTCTTCCTCCTTGTGTTAGTTTTGCTCTGATGTACCTGGAACTGGGCACTCAATCAGACGAATGTATGGCGTGGATTAACACCTTTAAATGGTGGTTTTGGGTGCTCTTTCTGGCAGTTCCTGGTAGCTACATCTCCCTGGCATTTGCTGACTCTCATATTTGGGAGAAGGGGCTAATGAGGAAATTACACCTGCTAGGTTTTACGGGGGATGCCCTGGGAGATTATCATCTTAAGGACGCCCAATTTAGGGTAGTCCAACGGCTTGTGGACATTGACTTGCAATATCTACGAGCCAGAACTAATAAAACTTGCTCCCCTCTGATCTTCAGCCAATTTAATAATTATGGACTGAGGATGGCTTCCTATTTTTACACTCTAACCATTCCCAAGTATAGAAGAGCTTTCTCCCTAGCTCTCTTTAATGTTTGCCCTCAGCACTACTGGATGGGCGATTTAAGAGGCTCCCGATTAACGAGCGGCTATGCCCCTGTGACAGAGCTGAGGTTGAAACTGTGGAGCATGTCCTTTAATATTGCCCTATGTATAATGCAGACAGATCTAAGTTACTGTCTCTCCTTGAAACAGACCCTTCTAGACCCAGTGTTAGTAATTTGTTCTTATATTGTCTAGGGGATGGCTCCTCATATATCGCTTCTCAGGTTTCCACATTTTTTTTAAGAGCTGTAACCACCAGAGGAGAATGCTATAATTCCCCTTAGTCAAGTTTTTGGTGACCAATTGTTCATGATTAATTTCCCCATGTTCTTCTTTTGTTGTACTTGTGTTTTGGTCTGTGACCGCAAATAAAGTATTCTTATTAACTTGCGTGTTCATGTCTGTCTTTTACATAATCCGCAAATGCCTGCTTTCCTTCTTTCAAGTTAGTTCACCTGACTTGAAGTTAAGATCTGCCTCCATATCCATCCATCAGTATCATTATGGGGACATAATGCATAGTGAATTTCCTTGGGTGTTTTTTTCTTGGTCCAAACTCTCTAGTTCAGTTATGTCACTTTAATAATTCCAGCAGTATCTAGCTTCACTGGCCCAGGTATTGATGATTTTGATGCTGTTTCCACCGTTTAATTGTGTGCGTAGCACTTTTCTCAGTCTTTGGGTGTGTTCTTTACTAACCACATTTTTATCATGTCCATGCTTGATACTGTCCAATTGTAAAATGCACAGATATCTGTTCATATCACAGCTGACAGTTTCTTTAACTGGTGTTGACCTTCATATGTATTAGGTTCTTCTCAAGAACCAATGATGATGTAATGTATTGGTGTGGCAGGGGTGGTATACTATCCGTTTGGCCCAGTTTGGCTGAACCGGTAGCTCCAAGGATCATCTTGAGCCAGTCAGTTTGCTCTGACAATCAGCTGCTGGGCCCACCTGCCCGCCCCAGCTTTTTACAGACCTTTAATTCCTGGTTTTGAAGCTCAGCTGCTTTGTGCGGCACAGCGGATTGCTGTGCGACAATTGTTGAAGACACAAGGAGAGTGCAGGATTGCAGGAGAAGGGCGGTAGCAAACCCTCTGAATGCGCGCAAAGCATGTTTTGGTGCATGCATGCGCTAAGGGTACCCACCAAGCCACACCCACAGAACTGGTGGTAAAAAAAGCTGAATCCCACCACTGTGGTGTAGTATATGTGCAATGTAGTGTGGTGTTTTATTGAACTAAACACTGTATTGCTGAAAACTGTTTTAGCCTGCTTTTGTTATTCCCCATAAATATTGGCAGTTGCATGGTTGGAAAGAGAGTGACAAAATCTGTTAAGTGACTTACTTTGATGAGTGACTGGTAGACTGAAGAGTGAGAGGAAAAGAATGGAGAACCGAAGGGAAATACCTTACTACCAAGGACCCAGTCACGGAAAAGGATGAGCCCTAAAGAGAATCAGACAAGCAGTAAAAACCTTGGAAACCTTCTTTGTAAAGTTTTTTTCTGCTTGTTTTTAGTACCCAAGTTCTGCCACTGCCAGTTGCTGCACAGTAGTTTTGTGGAGTGTTTTCCTTTTTACAAACAACTCACAGAAGGAGTTTCTCTATTGTCTTCAATTTCTCTCTCTCCGCCCACTTTTTTTAAAAAAATTTCTTTTCCTCTAAGATTAAAAATCAGAAAATGAAGATATTAACAAAAAATATGAAGGTAGATCATCAAATACGATTGATGGAGTAAACTGGTTTTAAGATTGAGAAAAAAGCAAAAGACTTGGGTATTATCATGACAAACATGAACTGTATGTTATTTCAAAATAATTATATTAAGTCATGGAATAGGAAGGAAACGAAGGACATATTTTAAAAAAGCTGAAAACAATTAGATCCAAATAGATACATTGATACAGAGGATTTTAAAGATTAATACTTAGTTGAAATATTAAGTATGAGCTGTGGTGGTGGGGGAGTGGTTAGAATGCAGTATATGGAGCAAAAGTCCCTTAACAAATGTCTCACTTAGCAGCAGAAATTTTGGGCTCAATTGTGGCTATAAGTCTAGGACTACTTGTATTCTTTCTGTGAAGTAATACTCACTTAACATCACTTTTTAACTTCTCTCCTGTCAATTTGAGCTGATTTCCCCCATGTTTTTGATTTTTGCTTAATATTGAAAATACTGCCTTCTAGAATCTTACTCATATCCTTAATATATTTAAATAATACATTATTTATCAATAATGTCACCCATTTCCCTTCTGTTATTCAGACTGTACATATTTAAAGTAGTTCCCCCAATCTCCTGATATGTTTTGATCCTCAGATCTTGTGCCATTTTTGTTGCCCATCTCTAGACTTACTCAATCTTATGTCTGTTTTTAAGTGAGGTGTCCAGAATTGGACATAGTATTTAGATGTTTGTTTAGAATTATATATATAACTGCGAAGAGAAAGATTGGAAGGCACTTCTTATATAAATTTTTCATGTTTTCTGTTTCATTTCTGTTCTGTTGTTTTCATTTTTTTCTATCTCCCTTTTCTCGTTCCCCTTTCCCTTCTTTCCCTTTCTTTTTTCCCCTTTCACATTTACTTTATTATACTTTTTCTTGAATGTGGTTCTTATTACATATGGAAAGCTCTTTTAATGAAAACTAAAGAAAGGACAAAGATGAACTTTGTAACCATTAGAATTCAGAACTGATATTGAACAAAGCGTTTTTGTTTTGCATTCACCAAATGAAGTGAATTAATTGTTTTAATATTATGTCTGCGTTGATTTGAAAAGATTATTGCTGTTAGGAATTGATAGTTACCTAACAGTTGGGTTGGAAATATATAAACCAGGATAGACATTTAATACTGTCTCTTTAAGGGAATGCTAAAATTGTAATTGGGTGTGGTTCCTCAAACAGCGATAAGATGGAGCCAGAAACCTGGGTTGTTTAGTCCTGTTGTTACTAGTTGCTAGTTGGTCGATGTTGTTTGCTATTTTTGGTTCCTGCATTTCCCTATTGATTGTTGCTGATCATAGTACTTCTTGGATTTGATGTAAGTCTGTTACTGAACTGTTTATGGTACTGGACTTTGTTTTTGGATTATCCCTGGACTGAATACTGACTGCCTTAACCGTGTATGACTTGGACTGTTTGTTGGACTTTGCTTAACCGTTTACTGGAAATAAAAAACTACATTTTACTATACAGTGTATCTGTGTGATGATTGTGTGTTATTCCTCACCACTCTCACTACATCTCCCTGTGTGCACTCATTCTCCTAACAGGGAATTACCACAACAATTGCAGTCACAAAGATTATTGTGGAGGCAAATGTCTTAACATCAGTGATAAAACAACAACAACACTTTGAATGATAAGCAGATTTCTCAATTTTTGCCTCTAAGATGGCGTCACTGCTAAAATGCAAGGTGGTTATAATAATTACACACACATCATTAGGTTGAATTAGTGTGCTCAGGATCATGTGGTGCAATCCAGAATTTATTTTTATTTTATTTTTATTAGACAAAATAAACTTTCTTGCCTCTTCCAGTTCATCTAAATGCTATCTTATTAACATTCCCACTTTCCCCCTTTTGTCTAATATAAGGCAGGTTTTCCCATGCTGCTCTTTATCCCCTCTCCCCCAAGAACTAAATAAAGTTAGTCAATACTGGCTTATTCCCCAGGCCCACTGGACTGATAATTCAAAATCAGCAACATGACTCATGGTTTCCTCTTAAAACTAGGTCAGTTGATGTCCTTGTGAATGTGGTTTGTTGTGTACATGGAACCTTGACTCCAGGAATTCTTTTGTATGAGAGGAAATGTTAGTTTTTCAATTGCCATTCCCGCTGAGAAAAACAATAAATGTAACCTAACCAGTGAGATGGTAGATATGAATATATGAGGCATGTTGCCCCTGGTTACTTGCTTTTAGACATATTCCCAAAATTTGTGTGGCCTTTGACCATGGTGATTTATAAAAACTGGAAGCTGAAGGCCAAAGCTTTTAACAAATACTATACTGACCTAGGATAGGCTATTTTAGGCCACTTTGTTAACAGAAAACACAAACTTAGGTTGACCTCACTTAAATGCATTTTATTTTGGTTATGAAACAGTGCTTTATTGGAGAATGAAATCCTGTATTCTGCATTTAGTTGGTATCCAAACAAACTTGGTTCCTCTTGTTTATTGATACATGCTTCTGATAATCAGCATACTGATCGATGCAACGCATGAGCACTTTGGAATACACTATTGTGGACATTTCTACATTGTTCTGCATTTTGAATTCTCAAGTTTTCTTACCACAAGGATGTTAAGATTCTTTATTTTATATTATTTGCAGGTGGAGATTTACATTTTATCTTTACATATTCACCTATGGATCCCGCGTCTTAAAAAAGGTAAGATGCTTTGTCTTTGGGGACAAATCAAATTGTTTCATGGGTATTGATAATAATAGCCTTATGAATATTTATAAAGGAATGTAGTGGTTATATGGCCTAGACATTGATATTTGAAAATAGATCTTTTTAATATTTATATTTTATTGTGTTTTACTAATCTAGAGGATATCTAGGCAAGATTTTACTAATCTTGCTAGTCCATGCATGATATGTCATATGATGGATGAATGAATGAATGAGGAATTTAATCTTGGGAAAATATGAAAAAGATACTGTGAGTAGAGTTGGACCAAATAGTACACAATCTTGAGATAGAAGGAAGAAGGAACTCAAAATAATCTTGTTGTGATTTTGTTTAATATAAGATGAGACAGAGAGAAACTGATAGGCTTTCAAAATTTGGTCATGCCCTACCCAAATAAAGTAATATTTCTGGAATCCTTGTGCTACCTGTTTCTTGATCCAGCCAGCCTTGAAAGATTGATATAAATTTTGAAAGCCTGTCCAAATATCTCTCTGTCTGATCTTTGTCAACACTGGGAATTATGTTCATTCCCAGCCCGTAATGAGTCCCAAACAGTCTCTCGAGATAAGCACTCACCTTTCTCTCCTTTGAGTTGCTGCCAACAACTAAAATACCAAATTAACTGTAAAAAAACAACCAAAGTACAAAGTCCACACAGAGTTTCAAGGTTTAATCTGAACAGAGCAAACGACTTTGCTTCCTGCAAAGGTTTCAATACCTTTGCACTTCCTTTATACCTTAGGGGAGGGAAATCACCTCCAAACCTTACTCCTGAGTCGCCCCTTTTGTCTTAGCTGTTCTTGCCTTCTGGCAGCTCTGTGCACACACACACTGGGAATAGGCTCCCCTTGTTTCTCTGCCTTGCTGCTGCCAGATTCTGGAGGCTCCGGAGTCAGCACATAACTCCTAGATGGTCCTGGCCCATCTCTATATCGGATGCAGGACCCTCATCTGAGTCCTCCCCAGATTCTCGGACTGGTCCCTGTTCTTCCCCACTGTCCGATTCTGCTGCCGTATGCACAGGCTGCCGACAAACCACAATATCTGCACTAAGCGCTATTTTATCTGCACTAGATATACTACTACATAATCTGTACTATATGTACTATCCATATACTATAGAGTGCCATATGGATATGGCTTATTTTGGACAATCACTTTGAATAAATGACTCAATAATTGTATATGTTTTTAAAAAAGGTTTTCAAGTGCTAGGGGTGTCAAACTCAATGCTAGGGGTGTCAAACTCAATTTCATTGAGGGCCACATCAGGGCTCTGTTTGACCTCGAGGGGCCAGTTGGATGTGGCCTGGGTAGGCATGGCCAGGTTGGGCATAGCCAGCTTGACATCACCCGTGTCAGGGATGCCTGTGGCGGCCTGAGTGCTCTGCCAGCGAAAATGGAGCTTGCGAGGACTGTACCCTAACCCTCCCGAGCTCCATTTTCACTGGCAGAGAGTAGTACGAGGCTGTTGCAGCCAAAAATGGAGCTTGGGAGGTCAGAGGTACTATGGGCCAGTCCTTCGCTGTTTCCAGGGTGGCCTCGCTGGCCAGATCTAAGCATCACATGGGCCGGATCCAGTCTGCGGGTCTTGAGTTTGACACCCTGCCATATGCCATGGAAATATTTTTACAGTTTCCTCTACTTTCTTTTTTCTTCTGTTTATTTTTACATCTCCTGAAATAAAATAAGTGTCATTTCCCCAAATTATAAATATTTGATTCAATCTAGTGATTCTTTGAATGCAGGACCATTTTTAATACATACATGATACTTTCATTCCTTTTGCTGATCATAGCTGGCCTGTAAATCTTTTAAGTTGGTTTAATGGATGCAATCTACTGAGTGGCCTGAATTTTGGAAGACTTATCTTAAGACCGACATACCCTTTGGAAGACCAACATACTTTGTCAAAAATGCATCTAATTTAGATTAGAAATGTCTCATTGCAATGCTGTAAGGAACTGCTAAAAACCCTTATGTAGAAATTGAGGAAGATCTTCCAGGTGATCAATATTAGCCTTCCTGTATCATCAATGTGAAACAAAATGTGTAGAAATCCAAAGACAGAGGGATCATAATAAGCACCAATTCTGTTCTTCACTCTTTAAAAAAGTGGATAAAAAGCCCTTCCTGAACACACTTCTATTCATCTATTAATCTTTTAGCTTGCTTGGATAAAAAAAAAAATAAAATAAAAGGTGGACAATATTTTTTAAAGAAACAATATCCAATAATAAGACCTAAAAACAACATCTCCTGAACTCTAGGTAGATTTCTAATTTGGAGACTGTTGCTATCCCATTTGCATGAAGAAAATGGCATGATTCATTTTAAAGAAAACGGCATGATTCAGAATTTTTAGATTGGCTATAAATATATATTAGTTGATTGGCTCATTTTTTAACTATTTTATATAGGCAAAAGATTGTACTCTATTGCTCTGTGAGGCCCGATTTCAACTTGACTTCCTCAGTCTTACACATTGGTTGCATTCTTTCAAAGAAGTAACTGCATTTCTTTGCATGCTCCAAACTTAATATGACTAGCTCTAATTTAATATTTGCTCATTTGATATCTGTGAGATTACACAGATTTCAGGAACCCCTAGTTTTTTCATATATGGCCAATCAAATCTGCTCAGCATCTCTTTTGATAGCACAGGCATTGTTTTATTTGCTTTTTTCATTTTGATTTATGCAATTGAATTTTCCCATGAAAATCCCCATAACTTTGTGATATTTCACCACTTGCAATTAATGTTGCAAGATATTCCTCTTTTCTTAAAACATATCTTTATTCAGAGTAGGATTTAGGGACCATGTCAGATTAGATAACCCGATAATTAGATCAGAATTATGACACTAAGCATGTCATGTTTATACGTCTTTTTATACAGCCCCCCCAAAACATAATGGTAAATGCAAAGGCAGATTCTGCAGATTTTCCAGAGTGAAAAAAAAAGTATCCCATTCCTTGTAAAAAGATTTTATCATAATTCACCTACCCTTCATTACTCAGAAGATTTTGATATTTTTCAAAAGACCAGCCCTTTAGGGCTGGAATAAAAACGGGAAGATGTAACAATTGACTGACTTTGGGCCTTACAAAGACTGGCAATAGGGAAAGTATATAGCAGAAAAATATTTCATCGTTTTGTACCCCCCTTCCCTTCACTGATCAGAGTACTGCCTCTCAGAGAAACAGATTCCACTACCCACCCAAACAGCTAGGAGAAGATGCAAAAGAAAAGTAATCACGACCTAGAATCTGCAATGTTCATAAGGAGATGATTCCATCAGATCAGATTATTTGTCCATAAAGTCCAGTATAGAAACAGTTTTCCAAAGTCTCAGATAAGGATTTCAATCTGGAATCTTTTCCATGCAAAGTACACTCTTTAGGGGGGCTTCCATAGAAAGCAGTACTTTATTGTACACACCTGCGGGCAGGCTCCTTTAGAAGCCCTCCCAGATATTTTAAGGCATACCTAGGTACAGACACAGAAGAATATTTTTCACTTAAACTCTTAAAGATGAAAATTTTCATGAACTGGCAATTTAGTGGCAAAACAAGCATAGCGCCAACATAATAAAATTAGAAGATTCCCAAGTTGTAAGATAATTCACTGTATAATTAACTAGAGTACCTGAACTATCTTCAGATATTTGGAAGCTTCCAGAAAAACAAATATTGCAAGTCAATTTATATCCAAGCCACCGCAATTAATCTTATTTAAAGGTTCCAATTCCCATGCAAGGATAAACTGAAAGTTACTGCAGAGATGAGATAGCCTTAGTAATAATGACGAACAGCTTCTGTAGAATTTAAGCTTCTATTCCCAAAGGTGGTTTTTCAGGAGGCAACTGGACTTTCTTATTTTTTCTTTTGAAGACATTCACTTCTCATCCAAGAAGCTTCTTCAGCTCTGACAGGATAGTGGAGAATGGCAGGATTATCTATCTTGTCGGAACTGAAGAAGCTTCTTGGATAAGAAGCGAAATGTCTTCAAAAGAAAAAACAAGGAAGTCCAGTTGCCTCCTGAAAAACCACCTTTGGGACAACCATGACCTGGATGACTGAAAATCTCCACAGACTTTAAGCTTCTACTATTTTTTAAATCTTTATTCTAGCTTCTATTCTTTAAGGGGAGAAAAAGTAGGATTTCTTTCCTTTCCCATATCAGACTGTATGAGCTCATTTCTCAGATCCGACTGTTGTAGGTACCTCCACTGTTCTTTCAAAATAGTCTTGTCTGGTCCCAGGTTCCCTTTTCCCATCTTGCCTGCTTCCATCTTCAGATTAAAGAATCATCCTTTCTATCTCATTGCAGCTGAGTAGAGACAATTAGTGTCACACAATTAACTTGTGCACTGTAACAAAGATGCATCAAGGAGGCCACTCAAGCATTAAAGGGGCAATAAAGTTGGATATCCTTATTCAGGAATTGGCAGTCTCACTTTTCCCTAATTATATTTATATTTGCACTTTGTTAGAGAGCTAGGACCTGGAATCTGTATGAGAATTGTGTGATGGGCTTGTTGATTCCTACTCTTGTTTTATTAGATTTTGAATGGTCTGATACAATAGAAAGATAAAGAACTCAGAATGTTGTGCTACAGAAGTGTCCCATTTATAACTGGACAGGTGTCAGGAATGGAATAGTAATCTCAATTTCTATCCTAGAAATATATAGCAATAGTGTCAACCTCCACTGAAAGATTCCAGAGAATCAGATGTTGTAGCCCCAGTCCCTTTCCTGTCAAAGATTAACCATCATAGCAATCGCAATAAGATCAATACCAAAATGAGGCCTGTGTTCAGTTTAAACAGATGTGAACATTAACATGTTTAGAACTTTAAAACTTCTAATCACTTTATTGCTCACATTCCATAAATGTATTCAGTGTCTTCCTTTTAATTGTTCTTCAATATAATGTCTGAATTAAAATGCACATTTGTGTTCTGGCAA